AATCTAAATCGTGAAGTCGAAGTGAAGTCGAGTCGTTTAAGCGTAAAGATGTAACAGACAGACAGACACAGTTTCACATTTAAAATATTAATATGAACTGGCATGAATAATTATTAAATATGACCGGTATTACAACTGTCTGAAAAAAGTGGGTTACGATGAGTGTCTGCATTCGTAATCGATCTTGTAGACATAATGCCTTCGTTATCAGGCTCACAAGTCCAAGATATGATGAACTCAATTCTGTCCGCGACTTAGTTCCATTAAAGTAGATTTTCTTGTTTTTTATCAAACAATTCCCTGTGTCGCGGGGTACTTTGCAAACATTCATTAAACAGACACAAAGAACACCCAGACTCAAAACGACAATTTGTGGATCATACAAAGTGTTGTCCCATGTGGAGATCGAGCCCACAAGACTCAGTAGGAATCAGCGAGGCAATGGGCAACGGTCGGTTACGGAATAAATATTTTGTGCGTGCAGTATGAATATAACGTATCTTCCTTAAAACATCATTGCTAGAAGATGCATGTTCAATCACTGCATGCAATATCTTGGATACAGTGTACGCAATACACCAAAAGCTGTATAATAAAATAAATGTGGCCATAAAAACGAAAGACCAGCTTTTTCATTAACCAAATTACAATGCTTAGGTGGTGCAACCGATATTATTATATACACGTACACTACTTTGTAATGCGTTCTCTTTTCTGTAGGGAAAGTGACATTGAAGGTATTCCACTTCTTAATGAAATAAATTAAATTAAGGTCAAATTTTTTCTTACCATATATAGAACGGAATGCGTAATGGTTTTAGCGAGCACCTCGCCGCTACTTACTGCGTTGTGATGTAAGTTCGATCTCATGGGACAACACTTTGTGTAATCCTTAAATTGTTGAGTCTGGGTGTTTTTGTGTCCGTTTTATGAATGTTTGTAAAGTACCCGCAATTAGTGCGGGAGTTGCCTTTCAAAAAAGAAGAGCATACTGTTTTTTTTTACTTTATTTACTTATAAGTTATTACTACTATTAATGTACTGCTAAAGATATTCTTTTGCTTAGGGGTGGTGCAGATATGGCTGAGTCGGTCTATACCTACACTTAAGTAATAAAGTTCTAGAGTAGTGAAACAAAAAAGATTTACAAACGTTTGGTTCCCCCTTTTTTTTCTGTGCGAAAATCTTCTCGGATACCACCTACCGGTGGCTACGTCGGACTCGAACCAGTCCACTCGGTACCAGTTGCCGGGGAACCAGGTGTACCCTAGGAAGGAAATCCCTGATACCCCAACGTACCTCGGGCCATCTACGGCGTGTAAATGACCCCCAAGGTGTGGTTTCCCCCTAACTCCAGACAGACAGTGAAATGAAACCACATTGGTTCTGTTACATTAGATCAGCGATGATTCTCTCACTCAAAATATGAACAATATGTCATCAATGAATTGATATTACTGCACAGATGGCGTTGTGGTTTAAGCGGTCATTTCGCCGCTCACTACTACGCTGTGTGTTGGAGGCCCGTTCCTCACATGAGACAACACATTGTGTGATCCACAAATTGTTGTTTTGAGTCTGGGTGTTCTTTGTGTCCTTTTCGACTGCGACTTGCGACACAGGATATATTCCAGATGCGGGACTTGTCTTTTTAAAATAAAAAATATATTACGGATATGTTAGTTGACACAACACTTTGTATACATATGTATATGTGTTTACTTCACTTTGTATTATATTAAACACTTGGTATGCAAAATAACAGTTTCATAATTTACTTTATTTTATGAAAATATGACACTTATCCATATACACTTGGAGTATATACATAAAAATATAAAAATGTTAAATTGGTTTGTGTACGCTTCAAAAACTCGAAAAACGTCGGCACCGATTAACATCTAATTTTGACACGATGTACAAACCGCGCTGCAAAACTTTGTTTTTTTTTTTATTTTTTGCGTCAGTTTTGTTCCTCATTTCTCATCAATGCAACAACAGTGTGCTACACCGAAGCGTGGCTGGTTACGGCTAGTATTATATAAAAAATTAAAATGCATGGGCAAAATAATCAGATCTGTGTTATTTGATCTGTGGCATCTTTCCTTTCGCTTTCTGCAATCTGTTGAGTATATATAATAGTCATCATCCTCCGACCATAATTATCCGTGTGGTGAAGGATTAGGAATACGGAGTGTCACCACCCCTATTCATCCCGTGGGTGTCGTAAGAGACGACTAAGAGAGTAAACTCTGACGGACAACAGCACTGCAAAGAGAAGGAAAACTTGTAACAAACCCTATCCCAACCGGTCTGGCCAGCGTTTTATAGTAGGCCAAAACCTCCTTTCTAAGGACAGGCGTCGGTGGTTATATCATTTATGATTTATTCTTAATATTCTTTCGTTTACTTTGTTTATAATGATTGCATTCGTGACTAATGATAAAGTCGTGACTAATGATTGCATTTTTCACGACTTTTGTTGTTTTTTTTTTCATTTAAAAAGCTTTAATTAATAATACTTAATTTTACCTACTAGATACATACGTGATAGATAGATATACTATCTAATTAAATTTTTTTACCGGGCAAAACAAAAGAGGTATGTTGGAATCTATGTATGTAACGGATTTACATTTGATGTTAGTTCATATTTTTTAAACTTTCTGGTAGTTTCTGGTGTTTTGAATGTCCTGCTGGCGGCAGCTTTCACGCTTCGGGTCCTTGATTTTGATTAATATCGGTTAGCCTAAACGATGGCTTGGGCTCGTATGCCGCCTGTATAGGCAGACCGACTCATAACTATGGTCCTTTCTTCAAAAGGCCTGCCCAGACCCTACACTGTACTAGCACAGTTTTCTTTAAATTTGCTTTCTCCGAAAAAAAAAATAGGCACCTCTATGGTTTGTTTCAGCGTTTCTTTCCAGAGTGAGTCTTAGGAAATGCCGGCTCCATCTAGCTGTAAAGTCCAACTTGTAAAAATATCTGAAAATAATAATAATATTTTCGGACATCTAATACACAACGCCATCTAGTTTCGAACTAAGCAGAGCTTGTAATATGAAAGCTAGATTGACTGATAAAATACTTTTATACTTTTTTTTTGTAAATCCATACATATTTTACATAGAAAACACCCAAACTCCGAAACAAATTTTGCAGATCATACAAACATTTGGTCCGACCCGGGAATCGAACCAGAGACCCCAGCACAGCAGTCGCTTACGCTACCACTGCACCACAGAGGCAGTCATATAAAATAAAAGATTTACTTACAGAAATAAATATCATTTCATTTCATTACAGAAAGTAAATCGCAAATAGAGATAAGACCGCTGATTGAACCAGTCGTTTTTATTGTATTGTCCTATGATGTATGTATGTTTTATCATCATCATCATCATCAACAGCCTTTAATAGTCCACTGCTGGACATAGGCCTCTCCTCAGAAAGGAGGTTTTATGGAGTACAATAAAATATTGTATTGTAAAACCACACGATTTCCGTCATATGTGCGTCTATTGTAAAGGACTCCGGAATACCCTAGGAAGGAAGTGCACGAGAATTCAGGAAGAACTAGGATGCTTTAGACAGCCACACCGAGTAAAGAGCCTTGTCCTTCTTCCAGTTTAGAGAGGCACGCGCAGAAGGCGTCGCGCTACCTCTGCTAGGGTAACGGGCAGTTGCATTCTACCTCCCCGTCAGTGCTCATGAAGGTCGAAGATTATTCTAGGTCCTTCGGTGCCTAGTGCCTCTCCTGTAGAACAAGAGAGTACTGATCCTCTAACGTTACTCTTTCTCTACCTCTTTTAGTTGGTGTACACTTAAGAGCGGCAAAAAAAAATGTTCACGGGATGACTTAATTACTACCTTAAAGGGTTAAATAATACTCAGAAATATGCCGACGACAGTTATTTCAATCTCATTAAACTACGGAGACTCTTAACACCGCGATCTAATTTATTGAAATTAGTACAGCGCTATCTATCGACCAGTATGTCAACTAAACATTACTTCAACAAAAGTTGTACAGTTATTTTGGAATAACTATTTACGATAAAAAGTCCAAAGGATTATTTTACGAATTTTTAGTATCTACTAGCTGAGACCCGCGGTGTTACCTGCGTTTGTTGTTATAACCGAAGCTAGTCTAAAAAAAGTAGCCTAAGTTACTCCTTATGTCATCAGCTATCTGCCAGTGAAAGTCCCGTCGAAATCGGTCCAGCCGTTCCAGAGATTACTCGGAACAAACAGACAGACAGACAGACAGAAATTGTAAAAAATGTTATTTTGGCATATGTACCGTGTAAACATACATATGCATTTACTAAAAAGCGGTTATTTTAATATTACAAACAGACACTCCAATTTTATTTATTTGTATATGTCGAATAATAAATGGAGGGGTTATTAAAAAAAACGCAGACCCGCTGACCCAGTTGGGGCCAACGGTTCTGCTTACAATATCATAGAGTTTAATATTCCTTTCTTTGTAACTATTTACAATACGCATATGCAATCTAGTAAAATATTTGTATGAAGAGGTTCAGCAATAAAAAGCAAGTAAATTAAACATCACAGTATCAATTTATTATAAATCAAATTAACATAGTTTCACTTACAATGTTACGCCTTTCGGAGTCGCCAGCAAACTGAGCCTCTCGACTCAAATCGCTGGCTTTTATAATGCACTCCCCGCCATTCCAAAGTTTACGTCACATTAACACGTGGTTTTACAAATACCCACATAATTGAATACCTACCTAATTCTATGCAATGTCATAGTTAAACTCTAATTACAATTGTTTATCAAATCTAGAACTTTGTTATTGAATCAATCTGCGCTTAGTAATTAATAATTTAGAATAATGTTAATAAGTTAATCATCCATTTATAAATGCGGCGACATATACATTATAGATTAAAATGCTTGATCATCATGGTCACGGCAGTAAATCTAAAGTGACCTGAAATCAGTTACATTTTATTGTCATTTACAGATATGGCCGCAAGAATACCTTTCTGGTGGCAATTTCAACAGTCATCCTATTCGGGCTTGGTATCCCATTCTCTCCCAACTACATCGTTTTTACCACCCTGAGGACATTCCTCGGCATGGCCACTGCTGGGACCATGGTTGTGTCATTCGTGATCGTAATGGAGTCTGTGGGGCCCCGGTACAGGGAAGTAGCTGGGTGCCTCTTCCAAATACCTTTTATTATCGGTGAGTACTTTTTTTTTTTTTCTTTTTAGAAAGACAACGCCCGCATTAGGAATATATATTCCTGTGTTGCGAGGGACTTTACAAACATACATGAAACGGACACAAAGAACACCCAGACTCAGAACAACAATTTGTGGATCACACAAAGTATCGTCCCATGTGGGGTTTGAACCCACAACACTCGGCGAAGTAGGAAGCGGCGTGGCGACCACTTAAACCACTACGCCATCCGTGCAGTCAGTTCGTTTTTAAATATACATAAGCATGCCTATTTGCAAATATATGTAATTTGGTCCCAGTCACGTAAGTAGGAGAAAGCCCATGGTCGACACTTTGGACAGTTTAAAAATTGAAGATGGGAAAAGGGAGTATTTAAGAAGGCTGCATTAGGTAAATCATTCATTTGTTCGGTTATTCATTCATTTCTTCATTCATGCATTTTGTTTCGTATTTGACGTGGTTTTCAAGTTTTTATCTGTACTTCAATTTTCACATTGCTATATGGAACTAAATATCTATATACATACTAATATTATTAATGCGAAAGTGTGTCTGTCTGTCTGTTGCCGCTTCACGCTTAAACCGCTGACTCGATTTATATCAAATTTGGTACAGATATAGTTCGAGTCCTGGGAAAGGACATAGGACAGTTTTAATCTCAGAAAACATCATTTAAGGAGGTAAAAAGGGGGGAGAGTGAAAGTTTATATGGGAAATTAAAACATTGTCATTAATGATGATTATTTTCTCATTAGGACAAAAAAAGTAACAAGTAACTAAGACACATAATAATATGCTTCAATACGTAGCATAAGACACTACCATATTTTAGATATGAAAAAAGCCGTTAATCCTGAATTTGAATGCAATGCTCCCAAATAAAAAGAAACAAATTTTCAAACCGTTTAATAAATACAGTAGTTCTGAGGTAATAAACATCCAAAAGAACAAAACAGCTGAATTGAAAAACTGTTTTTAACTCGTCGTACAGCGTTCATCCGCAAAAAAGACATCATTTCGTCAGATGGCATTCGAATAATAACCGTGCCGCGCTGATTATAAAAAGAGCTGATAAATAATCGTTTTATTATTGTTTCTTTTATCAATAGGGCCTATTATAGGCCAGATAGCACGCGACGCGTGATTAGAAAGATTAAGAGAAGTAGGTCAATCTCGATCTACAATCAAATGTCAACTTAACCGAGTTTAAAGACCTTAATAGCACTGCAGAGACTCAATTTTAAAAGGAATATATTTTGCTTATTGTTTTTGATACTAATATGCGACTAATTCATTCACTTGTTCGATTGCTCATCCATTCCTTCATTCATGCATTTTGCTTCGTATTTGACGTGGGTTTTATGTTCTTATCTAAATATCTTACAATCAATCTTTAGATGGACTATACTGTATAGTAACATGTAGTTTGTGGTGCGCATAATATACATATACACAAATACATACATTCATATAAATATACATACAGATACATACACATACCTATTTTACATAGTTCTTACAGGGATAAATAGTGATCCCAGAAGAGTTTCTTAAAGGGTTTCTTAAAGAGTTTCTCACTGACCGTACCCGCCTCATAGATTGCGGTAAGGAATTCCATAGACGTACTGTAAAAATCAGTAAAAATTGTAAAATGTGTTGAAATTTCTAGTGTCAGATTTTCCGTTAATCTTAAGTATCGTGTATGTGTGTCATGGATAAATGCAAACCGCTTATTTAAGTAGACAGGAGTTGCAGAATTAAATAACAGATTAAAAAGTAAAGAGAGGATGTGTGTGTTCCGGCGAAGCCCAATTAAAAGCCACTTGAGTATTTTACGAAATTTGGAAATATGATCATATTCGCGCAAGCCAAAAATGAATCTTATACAGAAATTCTGAAGTCTCTCGAATTTATCGAATTGGTCCTCGTACAGATCAAGATAGCTGACATCGGCATAATCGAGGATGGGGAAAAGAATTGATTGTGCGAGCTCAACCCTAGTGCGAGCTCAATACTTGTGCTAGTGCAAGCCAGTCAACCTTTGCCATAACTCTGGAGCTGCCGATTACTGTCACTTGAGTTTTCCTAGGATTAACTTTGAGTCCACACATCGTTGTCCCCCGATATATGTCGCTCAGATCTCTATTAACGGCATCAATACCTAGTGGCAACTTATTAAGATTTGTTTGATAATAAATTTGCAAAAATCGTCTGCATACGAGGTGGTAGGAAGAGAGAAGTTGATTGGTGATTGTGTTAATGAATATTGAAAATAGTAAAGGGGATAAAACGCCACCCTGTGGCACACCAGCGGACGTATTTGACAAAATGGAATAGTTTTCATCAAGGCGGGTACGCTGTCGCTGCGGTACGCATAATATCACCTCAACAGCCTTAATAGTCTACTGAAGGATATACTCTCATTAGAAAGGAGGTTTTGACCTACTGTACCATAACCATACTATACCATAGCAAACATATTCAGTTCCTATCTAACCATCCGTTCTTCACTTTGCAGGTCACATGACCGTTCCACTGTTTGCCTATTACTTCCGCAGCTGGGACAAATATACATTGGCCTTGGGCATTCCTCCGCTGATCTACCTGGGCTACTTTTTCACGCTCACTGAGTCCCCCCGGTGGCTGGTTAGCCATGGGAGGGTAGAGGAAGCTACCAAGATCGTCAAGAAAGCTGCTGCTATGTAAGTTAGTTTGAGTCGTTTGCTTGTTTTCGTACCTTATGTTTCCACTTCCTCCAATTTTCTTCTGATTAATTTTGTTGCGGGTTCCAAGACAGTTTACTTTTTTTCCTAGGACTTCCCGAGTGTCACAACTCGGTGTGTTCTGGGGACACTGCTGTTGAGCAGAGTATACAGGAGTTACAGTGGTGAGCGTGTCGGAGAGATTAGTCCCATTTTTCCACTTCCTTGTGGGATCATCTCTGTGGTAAGGTTATGAATCCGATGTAATATTAATTGTTATATAAATGTAATGTATGTTATGTGCTAGGAGCACATTTGAGTAAGCTCGACCAGACTAATACCACGCCTCACAGAAAACCACTGTTAATCAAATCTTTCGTTAAAATTCACCGAGTGATTGAAGTAACTTTAGGCCCAACAACCTTCCCCCTAGTTCCAGTTAGGGAGGTACTCGAAAGGGCAATAACGCTCTTGTGTCTCTTGATTTGCACAGGTTTACACCGTAATGTGACGTGTTCAGCCTGTGCTCACGGCCAGTGCAGACTGGTCGAAACGTCAGACATTTCAAAGGAATGTACCTAATGCCTGCCCATGTCGTGACGGATTAAGAATACGGAGTGTCACCACCCCAAATCATCCTGTGGGTGTCGTAAGAGCCGACTAATCGAGCAAACTACGCAGAACAACAGCAATTCAAAGAGAAGGAAAACTGTTGACATGACATGACTGTTGACATAAAAACAATAATTTGTGAACTTCCTGCTACTGAATAAAATACAGAAATAATTACCGATTTCAGTAATAATCTGCCAACTGCGAAGATAGAAGATATTCTAACGCAGTTATCTCAGGAGATTAGGAAGAATTCTGAAGAGCCCCGCCTAAACTACACGGCGCTGTTCCAAAAGTCACTGGTGGCGAAGACAGCGTGCTGCAGCATCATGTGGCTGGTTGTCGGCATCATATTCTTTGGGTTTAACCAGTACATCAGTCAGACAAGTCCAGATCCGTTCATAAGTGTGGCTCTTGCTGGAGTGATTCAGGTAAGAACCAACTTGGAGTTTTCATCATTCATAATTTATTTTTTTGCTGATCAAAGGTGTACAACGGTGTTACATTTTTATTTATACATGTCCTACTAAGGTAGACCAAAGACGACATGGCATTAACAATAACAAAAAAATGATAATGTCTAAAATTGAAGATTAAATGTTTAAGGGCAATATAAAACAAAAATTGCGCTCATTTTTCTATTACCTATGATTTTTTTTAATTTACGTTCATTACTAAAAATTGGAACCTCCCTAACACGTTTAATTTTCACCGCACGAAATAAAGTGATAGGAACTTTTTATGTAAAATTTTAAGCTCTACACCTTTTCCTCTGAACTATTTTGTCTTACTTTCGCCGTTTTCGAGTAATTGCAAAAAAACTTTTGATTTTTTTAACCCTTGCCGGGGGTTTTGGTCACGAAAACCTTTACACATTGTTTTCACATCATTAAAACCAATTAAGTCCCAAAAATCTTGATTTCGGACTTTATTTGACTTTACTAGAATATGCTTGTATGCAATAAAGCTCATTTGCATTATAGATATAATTAGAAGACTAACTCACACAAGCAAACATATAGATATGTATTTGCTTTGTATGTCAGTTTTGGTTACAGTACGGTTTTCAGCTTTACCGTATAATATTTCATCGCAAATGACTTTAATTCATTTTAACTCCTTACAGATTCCATCTAACCTCATCTCCATCTGGTTAATCAAGAGATTCGGCAGACGCCTCACCATCTCAATTTTCTACATCCTCGGCGGTGTCGTCGTGATCATCCTCTACTTCGTCCCTAAGATCTTCGCCATCACCCTGACTCTCGGCACATTGGGGGTCAGCTGTGCGGCTATCGTCGCTACCTCCATTTACATATACACTTCAGAACTGTACCCAACAGTTGTTAGGAATATGGGTATTGGAGCCAGTTCTACTTCGATGAGGATAGGGTCGATGTTAGCTCCTTTTATTGCAGATACAGTTGTCAGTGTTCCGTGGATGCCCACAGCCATATTTGGTGTAGCAGCCCTGGTTGCTGGGTTGGTGTGTTTGTTACTGCCTGAGACGAAGGGCACCACCTTACCTGATAGCATAGAAGACGTGCAAAATGTGAAATGATCTTAGGATGTGTGTCATTAAGTTTATAACTGACGGCAGCAGCTGCGAAGGCTCTATAGGCATATCATTGTAAATATTTTGTCGATGGTTTGTTATAAATGTTTAATAATTTTATTACTAAACTAGGAAAAGTAATTGACAACACATTAGATTCACAGTTGGATATATATCTCTGGATAAGCTTCTAATAAGGTGAGAACCATGCACACTCCGCTCTTTCGCAGCTGGTGACATGTCAGGTGTGGAGGATACCCCTCAGGGCGGCGTGAGCCGGCAACGAATTAGATTCGAGTGGATCTCCACTCAGGTATCACGCAGAAGGAGGTGGTGAAGAGGATACCTGCGTGATACCTGCTATAAGGCGTAGATAAGCTGATCTTAGAATTATATTACACCTAACGAAAACGAACAAAAATTAATTGTGTTAATTTTTTTTCCTTTTTTTTTGATAAAAAGCGACTACCGCCGCTCATGATTGGTTTTGCGAGGCAAAAAGTGTCTTGAAAAGCGCACAGTGGTCCACCACTGTGCGCTTTTCAAGACACTTTTATTATCCAATTATCGAAGTGGTGAGGATGAACAATTTGCCGTGTGGAACGATTTTAATTTACTATTTATTTTTAATTTAGTATAATATGAAGTCATATTTTTTAACCCAATTAGTTTTTGTGTTACACGATATCTCAAACACCTGCAATATTATTTGAGAATCTTTTACCAAGACCTAAATAAATGTCAGTAGTAATCCTCTTAGGGGAAGAATAAGTTCTTCAATCAAAAGGTTACAAATAATCAATCTTTTTAAATATTATTTATTCATCATTATTACGGTACAGTTTCGCTTTTAAAACGGCTCATTAGCTATGGTATTTTATATATGGGGTTAGTTAGAGACCCAGACATAACACGCTGTTGTGTAAATCTGTTCGTGATAAAGAAAGATTTCTATACGTAACAAAATAAGTAGGTACCTAATTAAATAGGTAGGTAGTAGGTAACCTTCTTTCTAAGGAGGTACTACTTGTAGGTACGTAATTGGTAATAGTTAGTATCCAGTAAACGTAGCCTAATTTCTTCGAACAATTATAGTTTGTTTGATCAAAGCCTAATATAAATAATTGTTATTGCATATTATACATTTGGTCTAGAGGTTAGTGGTTCGATTCCCACCTAGGACAAATATTTGTGTGATGAGCACGATCATTTGTTTTGTGTTTGGGTGTAATTTATCTATAAAATGTATTTGTTTGGAATTATATAAGTATGTTTATCAGCAGTCTGGTTACCATAGTACAGGCTCTGCCTAGTTTGGGATCAGACGGCCGTGTGTGAGATGTGTGAGGGTATTATAACGTAACTGTAGCACTGTAAGTTTTAAAATTGTAATATGGTACATACATTAATCACGACTGCTAAAAACGATGAATGGGAATTCCCCCTTCCAGTAAACTATGTAGTTCAAGAATATACATAAGTGCATATATTTTGACCGTTGTATTATTAGTGATAGCCAATTGTTTTTGTATGGGAGTCAGGAAATATATGCGTGGTGAAAATGACAGGCTATTCCCCTCCGGTCCGCCAGTGGCCTGTGTTGCTCTATGCAGTTAAATAAATAAATATGAAATGGTTAAGTGATGTGCCAAATAACACTTAATATTAACAAAGACAAGTTCTTCCATTTAAAAAAATATCTGTCAATTAATGGATGTTTCGGAAATAAAATTTAGGGTATTAACTTAATTTTTTTTTAATACCTATTAAACTGTGATAAATTTGTCATGTGCGTTTAAAACATGTCTGTTTTATAATTTATAAACACATTAATTATTTAATTTAATTATAAAACATTGTAAAAAGAAATGTTTTTCATTGCCCAAACAATCTATAATACAATTAATTAATACTTTTTGAACAATGCTCTCACTCTACACAAACTGGCTGGCATTATAAGTTTGTGGCGAGTTCCACATATATTGAAATAAAAATTAACTTTAGCGCCATCTAACAATGACACACCGAACTACGGAGTAACTGCTAATCTTGTATCGCGATATAAATAGTTGTCACCCTGATATACAACTTCAAATATCAACCTTCAGACCGCGGCACGCCAGGCATGATCACCTCGCCTGATTATACACCTTATAGGGCTAGTTAGTGGGGCGCTGCAGTTTCGTAACCAATTTTTTTTCGTGTGCCAACCCCTCTGGCTACACCCTCATCAGAGCTGAGGGTAAAGCGGTATGTCGAACCGACTAAAATCACACTGTATTCCGTCACAAGGGAGTCTGATGATAGGAGTTATGATATTGTTCTTGCTTAATATAAATTTATTTTTTCTGGTGACATTTTTAGTAAAAAAAGTATGTAAAGACATTAAACATACACTGACCTCTTTATCCCCAAAGGGGGCACACAGGTGTATTAAACAATCACTTTTTGCAGATTTTAGTCATATTTACATACGTAAGCAAGCTTATTTATTGAACTTAACCGGGCACATTATATTTCTAAATAAACGTACTTATATATGTATTAATAAATCTTATATATGTCGCCGCGGAGTTTTGGAGGCGCCGGAAATTAATTAAATTGATTATTGTTATTGATTATTTTTGATTATAAATTTCACTCTCTAAAATCTAATTAGAATTTTTAGACAAGATTGTAATTCATAATACTGTATTAACGTTAAGTTTTAAATTTGGTGAGTTAATTTGATGCAAGTCTTTGTGAGTACTTTCAATGTAAGTTGTTTTTACTATTTTAAATGTTTTGATTGCTTTAGACTATCAGAACTTATTTGTAATATTGTTTAAATAATTAAGGCTTGATTTGGAATTCTTAATATGGTTATTTGTGGTAAATTTAATATTACGAAAATACGTTAGCGCCATCTGCCTCCGTTTTGACGCGCAACTAGACGTTGCCGCCAGAGTGGCGGCAGGTGGGCTTGAAAAACATTATTGAGAGGGAGTCTGTGACGGATTTTGAGCGGGAAAACAAGTGAGTGTTGAACCTTTGTGCAATTTCTCCCCGGATTCCAAATCAAATTAGTGTCTTGCTATTATTTCGATAGTTATTGAGTTAAAGTCAATTTGTTAAGAAATAGTGTTGAAAAATAGTTATTTAAATGTTGAGTATTAACTTTCTAAGTTTTTCTAGTTGAAGTAAATGAAATTGTAATAATGTTTGACTGTTGAAAAAGAAAACCTTATGAGTTTCTTGTCTGTTCTTCTCATAATGGTAATTCCTTAGCGAACAGACGTAATTTCACCTACCCCCCAAACATTACTGAAATAACTATTAAAAACAAGTCTCAACTCCTTAACTGTTTTATGTTTCATTTAATCGTTATTACCTTCTTAGCTTAAATAAAGACTGTAGAGCCTTGACCTTGATAAAGGTCAACGGTTTTACATTACTTTTTAAATCGAACCCAAATTCTGTTTCGATATATATAAAATTCTCGTGTCACAATGTTCGTTCCCGTACTCCTCCGAAACAGCTTGACCGATTCTCATGAAATTTTGTGTGCACATCGGGAGGTCTGAAAATCGGCCAACATCTATTTTTCATACCCCTAAATGGTAAGGGTGACATACCCCTATTTTTTTTTGTTTTGCAATACAACGTTGGCCGGGTCAGCTAGTTTATACATAATATTAAACGTTAATTTAATATAAGGATAAAAAAGACCTAAAAAATGATACTTTTATAGTTTGGTAACAGTTCAAAGATGTCCAACTAAAGGCATCCGTTCGCCATCTGGTCTCTGTTCCCTTATAAATAGGTACCTTTACGCCTTTTAGGCAGTTTTGAAGAAACATTGGTGAATTTTAAATCGGTTCAGCGGTTTAGGCGTGAAAGCGTAACAAACATACTCACATTTACATATATAATATAAGTATGGATTTAACACATTCTCGTGAATCTCTATTAACTTAATTTGAAACAAAGGTTTTTCAAAGCCAGTCCAAAATTACTTAACATGGTTCTCTTTCAAATCCAAATATTAATCGTTATATTGTTAACACAATTACTATTATATTTATTAATATAAATTATTAATTTTACTTTTTTTTAGACATCTAACACACAACGCCATCTAGTTTTAAACTAAGCAGTGCTTGTGCTATGAATGCTGGATTGACTGATAGAATACTTTAATACTTTTTTTGTAAATACATATATATTATACATAGAAAACACTCAAACTCCGAAACAAATATTTGCAGATCATACAAACCCTTGGTTCGACCCAAGAATCGACCCGAGACACAGTACCTCAGCATATTCACTACTACTGCACCACCGGTACAGTATATTATTGTATGTCCAATAGCCGGGACATAGCTGGACTAACTAATGAAAACTATGATATCTGTATACAATATTATTATCAACTTCTGCGATTCAACTATCTGTGAAATCAATAAGCATACCGTTGGGAATTATATCACAATTTATCTAAAAAAAATTAAAACTAGTACAACATTGGGTAACATCTCCAGCTGCCCATTACTGCTAAATATTGCTAACCTTAAATAGGTACACATATGGATAATTTATCAGCTAACACCCCTTACTCCAAGGCCGTACGGTGACTTCGCCCCGGTCCGTAAGTAATAGTTTCCACGTAAACTGAAAAAAAGATCATTAATTTAATTATATGGTAACTTTTGTAATTTGTTTATAGAACCGTGGAGAGTCATCATTATCAGCCTCTAATAGTCCACTGCTGGACATAGGCCTCTCCTTAGAAAGGAGGTTTTGGCCTACTATACCACGCTGGCCAGACGGGTTGGTATAGGGTTTGTGTGTCATTAGTAATATATGCTGTGTCGCGGGGGACTTTACAAACATACATGCAACGGACACAAAGTACACCCAGACTCAGAACAACAATTTGTCGATCACACAACACTCGGTGTAGTAGGATGCGGCGTGGCGACCGCTTAAACCACTACCATCTTGCGCCAATCGTCACTTCACACTTTGAATGAATAAAAAAAACATAGGTCTCTCCTTAAAAAGAAGGTTTTGGCTGGTCAGACAGGTTGGTATAGGGTTTGTGTCAAGTTTTCCTTCTCTTTGCAGTGCTTTTGTTCTGCGTAGTTTGCTCCCTTAGTCGGCTCTTACGACACCCACGGCATGGATAGGGATGGTGACATTTCGCATTCTTAACACGTCAGGCTCAAGCAGAGTATAATACCACGACCTTACAGAAAACCAATTTTCAGCAGTTCTTGTATTTACTTTTTACCAAGTGACTGAGGTTGCCGAAGGGAAAATATAATATTTGGTACTCACTCTGAAGTGGCTCTTACTCCCATAGACGCAATGGATTCCTCCGGGCATTCTCCTCTAAGGAAGGTGTCATAGTCAACGCAGCGGCGAGCCAGCAGCCCATCAGAGACGAGGGACTCTGCCCAGAACGTCCACGAGCGCCAGTGGCTGCAGAAATCTGACGGATAATAATGTAAATAAGGAAGTTGCATTCATACTTATAAATGTGGAAGTAAGTTTGTTTGTTTCGCTTCCACGCCTAAACCGATTTTAAAACTTCTTTCACCAATAGCAAGCTTCGTTAACAACGAGTAACATTTGCTACTTTTAACCGCGAAAACCGATATACACGCGGGCGGAGACGCGGGCAAAAGGTAGTATGATATAAACGAATTGTTCTTACACTAATATCATAGAGGCAACAGTTTGGGAGTATGTGCGTTTACTTCTTCACGCTCAAACAGGTTTACCAATTCTTATAAAATTCGGTATGGACGTAGCTGATACAATTAATGAACACATAGGATACTTCTTATCTCGAAAAAATGTAATGTTCTCGTGTGAGGGGCAAGGAATTCAAAAATCTCAATATTTAACTCATCGGTTAAATAATATACTCGTACATTTAAGAATATCCGATAAACCGCAGATAACACCGCGCAGCTAGTTGAATATCACTAGTTAAAAGTTTGGTCTGGTCCGTGTGGTGACGGATTAAGAATACAAATTGTCACCACCCCAATTCATCCCGTAGGTGTCGTAAGAGCCGACTAAGGGAGCTAACTACGCAGGACAACAGCACTGCAAAGAGAAGGAAAACTTGAAACAAAGCCTATACCAACCCGTCTGGCCAGCGTGGTATAGTAGGCCAAAACCTCCTTTCTAAGGAGAGGTCTATGTCCAGCAGTGGACTAGTATAGGCTGTTGATGATGATGATGATGAGTTAAAAGTTTAATTTTCAGTTTTTTTTTGTCGGTGACCTCTCCACAAACTTTTATTGTAATGTTGTCTATGTAATAAAGTTTTATGATCAAATTTTATCTGTTTTATGTGGCCTTCTCTCCAAAGGTTGCCAGAAACGGCAAATGACCTACATAACAACGACCAGACTTGATAAACTAGTTTTAAACTAAATAAATAAAGGATTATACATGTTAATTGTATCTCTCAATTTGCACAAAAAAAATATATTCGTCATGTTAAGATCTTTGTTTTGTAACTGACATCGCATTCTCAACTCTAGAAGACCGAGGTTTTCGATGGTGAGTTCCTTTTTTTTAAGAAAAACAACTCACGCACTAATAATATTTCCTGGATCGAAGAACTTTACAAAAATTCATAAAACTGACACAAAGAACACCCAGAATCAGAACAACAATTTATGGATCACTCAAAGTGTAGTCCCATGTGGGGATCGAACGCAGAACATTTAGCGATGTAGGCAGCTGCAATATGACTTTTAAGCCACTACGCCACCCATTCAGCCAATAAGTTTTGCTTACAATCCAGAGTTTATAGTCTACCTACCTTCACTAGTTAGAGGAATCGTTGCAGAAATACACCCAGGCTGCCTGGATTGACCTCCATTTGGCCAAAAATCAGCGTGACCCGTGCTGGATGGAGTACCGAAGTATCCACCATCTGTGTGTATGACATCCACGAAGGCTGCATCCGAGGCAGACATATGAGGAGCTGCAATGGGGGGATAGTAGAAAGGGTAGGCGGGATCCAGACCTGTCAGTCTGTGAAGAAAACATAAATAGTTGTCAGTAACGAAACAAATTCATTTATAATAATAATAAGTTCACACATCTCACATACGGCCATCTCATCCCAAACTAGGCAGAGCCTGTACTATGGTAACTAGACTGCTGATAGACATACTTATTTATTTCTAAATACATACATAGTACAATAGCGCGAGCGCGCTTCGCAACGCGCTCGCGGCCACCCTGGCCTGCTTCTGCTAGGGTGACAGATGGCCTCACCTGTCACCCCCAGGCCAGATAAATTACACCCAGACACAGAACAAATTACTGTCCTTATCACACAATTATTTGTCCTAGGTGGGAATCGAACCCACTACCTTTGGCAGTCAGGGTCACTAACCAATAAACCGACAGGCCGGTAAAAAAAAATGAATTTAAAAGACTGGTATGTCTTCTATAATAAACTGTAACATACTTCAAGAAATCTAGAAATTAATATTATATTGTATGCAGTTCTGGACTCTCTGATAACTGTTCACGTAGGTGAGAGACGCGAGAATCTCTCTCACCAGTAAGAGAGATGTACTTATCTGATATGTTCTATAGTTTACGGAATTCTTAATACACTCATTGCATATAGATCACATGTCAGAAAAAAATATGAAAAAACATTAACGGGGCGGTCCCTCGTGTCTAAGTATCGTTTTGAACATCAGGGTTGCTTCTGGAACGGATTATCGCTCTTCACCGGTTCCTATGCAGAGTATCTCTCAAGATCAGGTACAAGTTGGGGAACAATAGGACTTGGTGGATAAATTCTCTAATCCATGACGACGCAGTTCAGGACTTGCAGTATAAATATACTTAAATTTAACGAATACCTGGGTACTGTGAATCCTCTTGAGCCTATGTACCTGGCAGCGTATGAGGCAAGGTGACATCCCATGGAGTGTCCCACCAGATGGAGGCTTTTAAGAGGAAGGCCCTTCTTTAATAACTTCAGCAGAGCCTTTCCCACATGTTCTCCAGCCTGGAACAGATACAAGAATATTCAAAACAAGGTTTTTTACATTAAATTTGTGTTTTCTTTTTAAGTTAAATGAAAACAGATTCTTTTGTATATGGTAAAAAATATATATATAAACAGAAGAATTTTAAAGACAACCAGATTTTATGGTCTGGCTTCCTTTACCTTCCTGATTCCCTATTCATCCCGTGGGTATCGTAAGAGTCGACTAAGGGAGCAAACTACGCAGGACAACAGCACTGCAAAAGAGAAAGAAAACTTGAAACAAACCCTATATCAACCCATCTGGCCAGCGTGGTACAGTAGGCCAAAACGTCCTTTCTAAGGAGAGGCCTATGTCCAGCAGTCTACTATTAAAGGCTGACGATGATGATATTGTTTAAATGGTAAATGGGAGCAAACGAGCAGGCGTGTCACCTAATGGTAAGCTACTACCACCGCCCATGGACTCCTGCAACGCAAGAGTCACAAAGGTGGTGTCGCTCTTTGAGTTTTAAATAACGACTGCTTCGGTGGTGCAATGGTAGTGTATGCGACTGCTGTGTTGAGGTCTCGGGTTCGATTCCCGGGTCGGGCCAAATGGTTGTATAATCTGCAAATATTTGTTTCGGAGTTTGGATGTTTCAGGAGCCACTTTTCATATTTTAATGAAATTAATATTATTATTTAGTAGTAAATTAAAAAATTGTAGCCTCGATCCTCGATTTTTTAGTATAATACTTTTAATTTGTGCAGTGCAGTGCATTTGTGCATCAGGAAATTGGTCGCAGACTGAATCAACACACAACGACAATCTGTTCGAAACTTCAGGCAATTCAAAGATATATATGATTTCGGTAATATTCGTATGTGTATATACTTACAGGAATTCAGTAAAGATTAGATTTTTATACAATAACATACAAAATTAATTCATTATAGTTTATTAAACTGTTCAGAGCATATCAACGTTAGCTTGTTTTTATCTCGTTTTCTTGAACAATAAAACTTGAAACAGAATACATCCCAGATTAGATGAATAAACTTCCAGAATATTCTGGAAGTTTATACATCTAGTATGGGAGAAATTCTGTTTTTTGACTTAAATGTATTGAAACTGCGTTTTGTGAGAATCAAGTGTTATAAAAAAAATAATATGTTAAAAAATTTAATGCGCAATTACAAAGTATATTAATTTTGTAGTGTAAAGAGTCAGTAATTAAAAATGAGTGAATTGGGAGATATGGCACATTTTAACTGACTCCTCAGTTAAGATGCTTCGGTAAATAGATTTGACTCTAATATACATATACTCGTAGTAGGACCTATTTGTGAGGAAATTTCGAACAAAGAACATCTATATTTTGTATAAATTTATACTAAATGTACGTATAATCCTATTATAAAAAAGTACAGCATCTACGAAGTTATTAGCTATTCTTTAATTTCATAACAATATTTTTTTTAGTGTGTCCATGAATAACTTATATAAAAAAGTATTTTTTACCAAACGTAATTTTTTACCAAAGGGAACGCCGAATGGTACATAAATCTATTTTATTTTATTTCATCTTTTGTACGACACAAGAGTCAGTATCTCAACACTGATAAATAGTTATTGCATACGTAGTGAATTTTTACTTTTATATTTAACTAGCTTCTGCCCGCGACTTCGTCCGCGTGGAACAGTTACTTTGAATTAACGCTAACATTAACCCGCGATTTCGCGACGTTTACGCAGAAGGACAAAATATTTTTCTAGCTTACGAGCTATTTCCGTTTACGCAGTGCACGCAGCAGAAACTCTCAAAAAGAAAAAAAAACCGTCGATTTTGAAAAGTTCTTCATTGGTGCTCCGTTCCTATTAGTCTTAGCGTGATGATGTATAGCCTATAGAATTCCTTAGTAAATGAGCTATCTAACATTGAAATAATTTTTCAAATCGGACCAGTAGTTCCTGAGATTAGCGCGTTCAAACAAACAAAGGAACTCTTCAGCTTTATAATATTAGTATAGATTATTCTTTGTATAGTATAGATTATTCTTTATAATATTAGTATAGTCTATCCGTGTGGTGACGGATTAAGAATACAGACTGTCACCACCCCTATTCATCCCGTGGGTGTCGTAAGAGCCGACTAAGGGAAAAAACTACGCAGGACAACAGCACTGCAGAGAGAAGGAAACTTGACACAAACCCTATACCAACCCGTCTGGCCAGCGTGGTATAGTAGGCCAAAACCTCCTTTCTAAGGAGAGGCTTATGTCCAGCAGTGGACTATTATAGGCTGTTGATGTGATGTGATGATGATAGATTATTCTTATCGATACAAAATGCGGCAAAAACGTGATAGTAAGTAGTATAATACTAGGTGTTATAGAATTTATCTCTGCAATTAGCGACGCTGACATGGGACTACTATACATGTCACTACCCAACACAGGATGAGATGTTTTGTTACGTCGCCTATGATTCTCAATGTAAAATTCGTAAAAGCACAGACCAAGCATTATTAATTCACTGTATAACTTATGTCCAAATTTATTAATAAATACTTTTAACTGAAGAATTTCTGTACATGCCTATATTTCGATTATTTGAAAATTAAATTTCAAAAACTAGACTTTGTGATTTTACATTTTGACATGGTCATCCTAAATAGCAAGTTCATGAGGAATATCGAAAGGAAATTTATTTTTCAAATACCGAATATATACAACGTTGATCTGTACATAATTTTTTAGTAGACATTTATACTAAATGTTAGTGTCTCTGGTTTTTGTTTCTGTTGTGATCTCAGGTAGGTACAGTCGATTATTTATTATGCAGAACACCAGGATTGAGGAGCCAAATAAAATGCGTTTATTTACAAAATTCACTCAGTTTTACTACCTTTTCCTGATGTCACAAATTCGAACACAATTGTTAGTGAATGTTTTTGGAGTGGAATATAAACTTTGAACTATTACTTTCATAGCAATTCATGCTCTTAAATATAGCTTGAGGAGCTACATTAAAACTATTGTATATTTTTAAATATCAATAATAGTGGATTCAGATTTTTAGTAGGCACTAAACACATCATCATCATCATCAACAGCCTTTAATAGTCCACTGCTGGGCATAGGCCTCCCCTTAGAAAGGAGGTTTTGGCCTACTATACCACACTGGCCACGCTTACTACTAAATGATACAAAATTTAAAAAAATATTCATTAAATACTTTCCGTGTTCCAGGAGGCTCCTGAATTCATATGTTTAGATTGAGGTCCCACTTTTGCATTGATGTAACTTTGGATATATCTTACTACAAATTTCAGAATTTGTCCTACAAAATTATTGGCTCACCTACTAAATAAGGGTGGAGTTTCCGTTTAAAATCTGAAAAGGTTCCTCAATCCATACGGACACAAATTTTGACCGGCCTGGGAATCGAACCAACTGAGGCAGCGTTTTCAAATTCCACTCGAACGAAGTCGCGGGTACCAGCTAGTATTAAATAAAAAGATCAAAATATTCACACTGTCAAAATGTTATATTAATATTTTTAATATAATATTTTGAATGTGTTGTTATGTGTAATGTATTCTATCTTATTCTCTCTCTCTCCCTCTATTAATCCTATACATTTATGTGTTTCTTTCTTTATCCTGACGCATTTTCGTTTCATCAAGTTTCTAAAGAAGATTTCGAAAAAAAAAACACCTTACACTTTTTGAGGAACAAGTTACAGTTTACTATAATTAATGATTTCAGTTTCATCATCAATTTCTATCACTGTAGATACTTACTGTGGGCAGAGTCTTCGCGATGATGATGTAGTTGCCAAAAGCCAGGTTAGACCAGTCCAGAAGCATCACGTTGTACCCTCCGGCTCGAAGGTAAGCAGACATCACAGTCACTATACTATCGTCTGTGAACAACTCCACATAGCTGAAATAGAGATCAATTGTGTCAAATCATCAACAGCCTTTATTAGTCCACTGCTGGAATGATAACAGCTTTTTTTTCTGTAAGAAAATATTTTCACAAGTCGGACTTTACAGCTAAATGAACCCGGCATTTCCTAAGACTCACTCTGGGAAAAACTGCCGAAACAAACCACAGAGATGTCCCTTTTTTAGTCCGTAAACAAAGTTAAAGAAAACACTTATATATTAAAAAAAAAATATAACCTCTAAAAATATATATAAACTATTGTTCCAGTAAAAATCCAACAGCGATTCCATACGATGACAATGGTCTTTTTAAACACTGTCATGTCCTCCCGATCCAAACACGATTTAAATACAATTTACTAAAAGAAAACATCTTTAAAAGTCAATTAAAAAATAGAACACGCCGTATATATTATTATTTATTTACACATCATGCACCCAATGAGCATGGTGTGTAAATAAATAAATATACAAGGGCCGCTACTCGGCATCTTGTGTGCAAAACCAGTTGCGCGGCGATAAATAATACATACAGTAAAAGAACAAACGACTACTTAGGTGCCTTTTTTTTTTGTTGACGGGGTGGAAAATCCCTTCGGATTTCCGGCTCCTCGGGGACTCAGGAGCCAGGAGTATGTGGTGATTCCACTAAAAACCACCCCGACGGCCAGCCTTAGGTGTCCTACTCTGGGGAGGACCCGGACCATGTTATTTCAGGTCCTCCCCGAATTGACACCATGCCTAATCAGGCCCTATCCCAGGGGAGAACACTTCCCCCTTCAATCGTGGCATGGCGGCCCGATCGCATCTTAATGCAATCAGGCCGGCCATTCCATTCCCTGACTACTTAGGTGCCTAGATTTATTTATAACCTACCCTCCGAATTGCGAGATATTCTAAAGCCAATGAGCTTTAAATCAACCACTACGATTTCTTTTGAATCTAAATCAATAATATCTGCTTTTTTTTTTTTGTTTATCAGTTTCACTTTTTATTTATTTATGTAACATTATTCTGTACTGTATTCAGCTTTTTTATTATTACTGTTTTGTTTTTAATCTATCGATCTTGACTAACACGTAGCATTCATTATAAACCTCTGTGGCTTATGAAATGCTATGTATTTTAAATTTCCCTTATAATTTCTTTACAGTTTGAATTAATAAAAAAAACATGGTTGGGTAAAAAAAGTTTTGGCTGCCCAGACGTAGGTTTTGTGTTAAGTTTTTTTTCTCTTTGCAGTGCTGTTCTCTTGCGTAGTTTGCTCTCTTATCCGGCTCTTACGATACCCACTGGATGAATAGGGATGGTCACTCTCCGTATTCTTAATTCGTCACCACACGGATAAATTTAACATAAGTAAATATGTACATATATATATGTATCTTTTTAGTGGTTCTTTGCACACACAACTAATATAGAGCGGAAATTCAGGACCGCGGTCCCGGTTCCGAAAGCAACACGACCCAAAATTAGTACGATTGAAAGAAAAGGCAGATATTATAAGAAGGGAGGACAATATCAGCTGGGGTATTGCTTAAACGGATGAATTATACGGCAGGATTGGGGACTCGACCAGGGCAGCATAGCATACTTGTAACTTGAAATGTCCAGTAACAGAAAGTCTTCTAACCATTAAAGAACCTTCTAAAAAACACGTTGCTTTTCAACGAGCTATTGATTTTACCGGTGCTCAAAACCCTACCCCTACTTCAGGAGGGGAGAGCTCAAATAGCGGCAACGGACGTCTGACTTAGGAGTTGTACGTGTCTATTAGGTAACCCGTCTGATCATTTGCATACCCCTTAAGCATAAAATACGGTTTATAAAATAAGCATTTACAAGTGATGTTAAATCTTACCCATGCATGTAGATTACTGTAGATTTATTCCTGTCAAACTTAGGGTCCTTTAGAATTGATTTGATGTTTCCGATCCTGTGAGACGTTGGGGACGTCACATTCGTTCTGAAATTGTATATATGTAAATATATTTGTCTGTGTATATATGTGTATTTAGAATGTGTTGTGTTGTGAGTTTATTAATGTAGCGAACCGTGTATATTTTCATTAATTACTTAATATATTAAGATGTAACCTCTGTGCACCTACCTTACAAGATTTCTACACCACCCAAAGGTTGACTAGAAGTCCGCCGATGTGCAAAAGTGCATAAAGTTAAATAAATAAATAAAAAATAATTAATATTAATCATTAATAGTTTATAATAATACTCCTTTTTTTTTCCGTGCGGAAATCCCCTCGGATACCACCTATCGGTGGCATGTCGGACTCGAACCGACTAAAACCGCACGCCGTCCCGGGTACTAATAGCCGGGGAACCAGGTAGCCGGGGAACCAGGTTATAATAATACTCCTAAATTGCTGTCGGTCATGGACGACGGTAGTCACTTTAAATCAGGTGACCTGTCTGCTCGTTTGCCCCCTGTAGCATAAAAACTATAAATTTAATAACAACATGTGGTTTACGATATCCCTGCCATCCTATAATCTATCTGTATCTGTAATAATGTTCGAAATCTTTTACAATTTGATTTTAGCTTGAATAATTCACTGTAAATGTAAAGAAATTACATACAAAAGCCCATTTTCCCCACAGCCTCCCTCACTCTGTGAGAACAACGAAAGAATTATTCTGTGAGGACGTGGTATTATTCCTTTCAAGTCGGCCTATTTTTTTTTTAAATACAGCTCCCGCATTAGGAATATATCCTGTGTCGCGGGGGACTTTACAAAAATACATGAAACGGACACAAAGAACACCCAGACTCAGAACAACAATTTGTGGATTACACAAAGTGTCGTCCCATGTGGAGTTTGTACAACAACACACTACTACACCCACAACACTCGGTGTAGTAGGATGCGGCGTGGCGACCGCTTAAACCACTACCATCTTGCGCCAATCGTCACTTCACACTTTGAATGAATAAAGAAACATGGGCCTCTCCTTAAAAATAAGGTTTTGGCTGGCCAGACAGGTTGGTATAGGGTTTGTTTCAAGTTTTCCTTTTCTTTGTGGTACTGTTGTCCTGCGTAGTTTGCTCCCTTAATCGGCTCTTACGATACCCGTGGGATGAATAGGGGTGTGACACTCCGTATTCTTAATCCCTTAGCACACGGACCGGATAATATTGTAAAACATTACATAATTCTATGTTGTATTCACTGTATAAAACAAACTGTTTGGTATAGTAAATTTGCAGTAATCAAGTGTAATTTGTAGACAATTGAATTAGGTATACTTACGTGTAATGGCGAATGACGATGTCCTCTATTACGGGAATGCGGCCCCTTGGAGTATCTGAAAACCAAAGCTAGTTGTAACTATATATGAATAGAATAAAAACCAATTGTCTTTTTATTTATTGAGTTTTTTGTAAAGTTTTAACATGCTTTTCTTAGCTTATCTTGAAATCAACAAACCATGAGAGTTTATTGTATGCTACTTATGTATTCTAAATAAAACTTTGCATATTTACGAGAATATAGGTTGAATAGAGAAATATTTTTTTTTTAAAAATTAGTCTAGATGCCTATGTCTGCCAAAATGTAAGAAAAATGTTATCATGACTGGTAGACTAGTTAAGCCTTGAAAGCACAGCAGATTGACAGAGTTACTTCTGAATATTATTATACTAGTTTTTGTAAATTTCGGTTACCGCAGTATAAAGTAGCCTATGTCTTCTCAAGAATCAAAGTATCTTCATACTAAATTTTATCCAAATCAGTTCAATAGTTTAAACGTGAAGAGACAACAGACAGACAGAAAGACAGACAAACAGATTTTTCTCATTGATAATATTAATATGGACTAGTATGGATTATGATTTTATAGACGCAATATTTTGACGTCCTTATTTGAGGTCGTTTTTTTACTATGTCTTAGGAACGACATTGAAACCTTATGCAAATACTAGAATAAGTTTAAGATGACAAAATTAAATATTTATCTAATATTATCGTTTTTATTTTGTATGTATGTTTGTAACACTATAATAATACATATTAATTAGGTATCTAGTTTTTATAATCGCCGTTAATATCTTAATGCAATAAATACATATAATCTGGGCCTTTATGCAATTTACCTAGATTTAAGCACATTAGCAAAGCTATGAAGCTAAAAACTATGAAAACAAGCTAATTAATTATTGAAAAAAAAAAACAGTGGTACTACGGGAGTATTCTTTTCCTATCTCAAACAATGGGTTTTTTAGTTAAAACATATTTTTTTGTTGTTCACAAATGCCAAACGCGCCTAAAGTAGTTTCCACTTCAAAAGGTTTCACTTTAAAAACCCAACTGCTTGAAAATTTATACTTAAAATTAAAAAAGCCATGCATGGTGGTTTAACCTGGTAAGTAAGGTTAGCAGAGCCTAAACTCCCCCAATCCCCACTCTTCAGGACTCAAAGACCAGCAAGGCACTTGTTACTCTTGGGTTGCAAGTTTCCATGGGCGTCCGACATAACCACCGGTGGGTTTTGTTCGAGGTAATATGCGGCATATGCGGGGGTAGTTACTTACCATTAGGTGACACGCTTGCTTGTTTACCCCTTACACTACAAAAAAATTACACACTAAAAGTATTCAGTAGAATTGAGAAGATCGTCCTTTTAATAAGTCGGTTAAACATTTTTTCTTAAGAAGCATCTCTCACACTAGGAAGATATCCTGTGTCGCAATGAAACGGACACAAAGAACACCTAGAATCAGTGATGCATGACCCACTCGGGACACCAAACAAAGTGATGTCCCATGTGGGAATCGAACGAATACTTGTTACAATAAGAACCTGAAATAAGACAGGCCTATCGGTATAGGGGGTCGGGGGTTCGATTCCCGCCCGGGACGAGTAGTTGAGTGAAAAGCGGGTTAGTAGGTGCTATGTCTGGGAGTGGTTTGTCTGTGGTGTGTGTTTTTGGAAGTATATGAGTGTGTTTGATGGTCCGGCTCCCGTGATGAGGGCGGGATGAGTAAGGTTCTTAAAATTGTTAATATAATAGGTATTATTTATTACTATACATGTTTTAAACAACGAATGGCTACACTATTGTATTAGGTACAAAACCTGTAATAATAGTTGTATTGTGTGTCTTAAATAAATAAAATAAACGCACAATACTCAGTATGAAAAGGCGAGGTGACCGCTTAAACCACTACGGCATCCGTGCAGTCATCTATGCAGTGATAATAATATTTTACTACTGGGTGAAGTCGGAGGGCAAATATATATTAAAATGACATATAAAAATGTAGTTCGCATATCAGCGACCTTCTTACAGTTAACGAATAACATAACTGTGGCGCACGTCCAGCAGATAATGCCACTAAAATACTAAATATTTAAGAAGAGTTTTAAGAAAAAATACTAATTAGTGTATAGACAATATATTTATAAATATAGCAATAATATATGTGCATAGACAATGATTTTAGTGTTGTGATATTTAAAAAAGATTTTTTTACAATTTTTTTGGTAAGTAAATATTATTTAAGTTACACGTTATTTTGATAATCACACATTCACATGCGACTGCGACAGCGCTTTGTGACCCAGGAGCAGGTTTACGGAATTCTCCTTGAGACGCGTCAGCACTCACCTTCACTGTCTGCTGTATTACCCCCTCTACCTAAGACAATTATTTTGGAAAGTCTGAAGGGTACAAAAAAAAATGGCCAACGGGTCCTTTTTTAGTAGTTTTAATTTTGACGGTCCAAAGGGTATTAAAAAAGAGGTCCAATGGGCACATTGAATATTATATTTGAAAGGGACCTAAAAAGAAGGTCGTTTACTTTCGTGATAGGGTCTAATTTTAGAGATCCAATGGGTCCAAATAATTGTACAATAGTAGAATTATTAAATAGTGTTGTAACAATGTTTTAGAGATGTACACTTTGTATTACTTTCGTAAGTTGTCATTACGTTAGAAGAAGTTTTAGCAAATAATTTTTACTCACCGCTGAGAACTCTTGCTACTTGTCGAAAGCTGATGTTGGAAAGAGGGAGGGTAGGCTCCCGCTGTGCTTCGCAGAATATTGAAGCTGATAAACGAAAATTAATAATTATATTAAACTATATGTATTATAATAATAACGCTTCCACCCACAGCTTCTCCCGTGTGTATTTCGGTAACCGTGATCCTTTTTTCGCCGGTTTATACAGCATAAGATTTTTTGCAACCGTCTTAACTATAATCGTTATATTGTAGTCAATTTACATAAAACCATCATGAATTATATACCTAAACCTTTCTTAGGAATCACTCTATCTATTGGTAAAAACCGTACAAAAATCCGCTCCCTAGTTTTTGAGTTTATCGCGTTCATATAAACACACAGACTTCATTTTATAATATTTATTTTATTTATTAAACTTAATGCACAAGTTGTACACAGGCGGATTTAATGCCCAAAGCATTCTCTGCCAGTCGACCTTCGGGTAATGTAGAAAAATGATGCTGTAGGTGCAAGAGAAAACAGAGAATTTGACTTGTTTATATTAAATTTATTAATTTAAGATATATAATATGTGTAAGGATTATTTTGGAACATAAATGAATTTACAGTATCCATACTAAGCACAGCTTACTTTTTGTGAGGAAGTAGAAGGCCTCACATAAACCGCCGTTAAGTAATTATTTTGTTGTTTTTATCATTATTAATAAGTGCCTATTTCTGTGCTGAGGGTCAAAGTAGTTAAAAAAATATATAAAATAAATATTTATCATCATAAGAAAATTTGAATTATTTATTATCATTAAGGTCTTCTGACGATCATCAACCTTCAACTCCAATCAGATGAATAATAATTATATTTATAAGCTTGTATCTTCTACTTCTAAGTGAGATAAGTAAGCTGTCAGCTTACTTATCGCACTTAACGTGATCATGGTCATGACACTGGAATATATTTAATTATAGTATTATTTAATTAGTTTACAATTCAAATCATATCGTGTACCACTTATAGCGTTCCGTGGCCTCTATAGGGAAGTCTAATAGTTTCGTCGTCTGTCTACGTATATAATTTTTATGGAATAGAGAGTAAACGATGAGATGGGTGACCTCTTAGTAAGTGGCTATCACCACTCACGGATACCTGCAACTCAACAACTCTTTGAGTTACACCCCCTCCCCCCTCCCTCCTCCAGAATCAGGTTTGGGGTCCGATTACCTCACTCATTCGCTGATAAGGAACGGAAGAGTTGCTTAACACCGGTTTTCTGTGAGACGGTTGTATTACTCCGATCGAGCCTGGACATGCGGCCCATACTATTGTGAAGGAATGGGTGTCATGAGGATCCTTCGACCATTCGCGGTGATCATGCTTGGCGGGCCGCGGCCCAACGGTTGATGTTGAGAAGTAGTATATTTATACTAATCAGCGAGAGAATTGCTTATATCGCGATACAAGATTAGCAGTTACTCAGTAGTTCGGTGTGTCTTCGTTAGATGGCGTTGTGTTTTCGTTTCATAGTATATAAAAGTCGCCACACAATATTTCGGGATTCAACGGATTTAGAAGCAAAATTAACACAGCTAAGCTAAGTAAATCGTCTGACTTATTAAATTTTACGTTGAAAATTTGATGCAAAATACTAAATTCATTCTTTCTTTCTTCTAATAAGTAGTAATGAATAGACAGAACTCAAAACATCGTGTGGCCCGACACGTACTTTGCCGGTTTTCTAGTGCTTCTCCTCACATTTTTGAACATAAAGCACGCAGATTGATTTCTCACATAAATATTATTAGTAGAAAACATCCAGATCGATGCAAATATTTAAACAGAATGGGACTCTAAACCGCCACCTCTGGCCTTGCCGTCGAACACGTAACATTATAAAAAAAATGCCGATATTGGATTCTGTATTTAGTAATAAAATGTAAATAAAACAAATTAATACTTCGTCAAAAGAATAAAAAACCTATGAACTATCATAAAAACTAGTGCAGCGGGAGTCAGGGGATTCTCAGTCATATGGGTACCAACTTATATATGTCAATAAATATATTATTTGAAGACATTTTAAAGCCACTCCAAACTTAAAAATAAATCTTCATCATCACCTTATTTCACGCCCTTTTACTAATCTTCTTTCTTCTTCTTCTTTTTTAAAAAGACAACGCCCGCATTAGGAATAAATCCTGTGTCGCGGGGGACTTTACAAACATACATGAAACGGACACAAAGAACACCCAGACTCAGAACAACAATTTATGGATCACACAAAGTGTCGTCCCATGTGGGGTTTGAACCCACAACACTCGGCGTAGTAGGAAGCGGCGTGGCGACCGCTTAAACCACTACGCCATCCGTGCAGTCATCAATCTAGTTTTAAGGTTGGCTCAATGAACAATGTTGTCTTTAAATTTGCCTATTTTTATATCTTATTAACTGACCCTCGCAATTTCCTCTGCGTCTTTCAAAAGGAATAATTGTTTTGCAACATTTTTCATTGCTGCTCGGCTCCTTTTGGTCGAAGCGTGATGTTATATAGCCTATCTCGATAAATGGACTTTCAAACACTAAAAGAATTTTTCAATACGAACCAGTAGTTCCTGATATTAGCGCATTCAACCAAACAAACACTTGTCAGCTTTATAATACATATTAGTATCATCATCATCATCATCAGGCTATCGCAATCCACTATAATAGTCAATAATCGATCTAAGTCCCGTGCAATGGGTGAGGCCTATGTCCAGCAGTGGACTGCGATAGGCTGATATTAGTATGGATATTATTATATTTGTATATATTAGTCCGTGTGGTGACGGATTAAGAATACAGAGTGTCACCACCCCTATTCATCCCGTGGGTGTCGTAAGAGACGACTAAGGGAGAAAACTACGAAGAACAACAGCACTGCAGAGAGAAGGAAAACTTGACACAAACCCTATACCAACCCGTCTAGCCAGCGTGGTATAGTAGGCCAAAACCTCCTTTCTAAGGAGAGGCATGATTATGTCCAGCAGTGGACTATTAAAGCCTGTTGATGATGATGATTATTATATTTCGCAATGTCAAGGGTGAATGAATGATTTAATTTCTTAAAGGTATGATTAATTAACGGTTTTGTGTAGAGATTAATCAAATAATGATTAAATGCTGCCTTCTATCACAATGTTGTAACATGTTACGATGGGCCTGTTGGTCTAGTGGTTAGTGGCCCTGACTGCTAAGCCGGAGGTCGTGGGTTCGATTCCCACCCAGGACAAATATTGTGTGATGAAAACGGTCATTTGTTCTGTGTCTGCGTGTAATTTATCTATAATGTATGTATTTTAAAATATATAAGTATTTTTATCAGCAGTCTGGTTACCATAGCACAGGCTCTGCCTAGTTTGGGATCAGACGGCCGTGTGTGAGATTATTTATATTATTATATTTTTTTAGTACTTAGTTTTTGTCCTTGTTTGCAATGTTATTGGTGCAAAGTCTACGCTCAAGTTATCTTAATATATATATTCGTGTGAGGAGTAGACAAACAGGCTTGGGTGTCTTTGCCTCGATCATTTTGACTACAGATTTCACTTCCTAATATACATACTGTTAACCTTCGTTAAAAGGTTAATACTTGTAATTAATTTTATAAAAGTAGCACCGAGCTATTATTATAATAATAATAATAATAAATATTATTAACAATAATATTCTACCACATTCACACAACGCCATCTAGTCCCAAACTAAGTAGAGCTTGTACTATGGGTACTAGGCAACTGATATAAATACATATATACTTTCTTTTTTTGTAAATACATACTTATTATACATAGAAACACCCAGACCAAACCAAACATTAAATGTTTATGCACACAAATGTTTGACTTGAGCGGGAATCGAACCCGCGACTTTTTGGAATAGCAGTCCGTTACACAAACCACTACGCCATCCGGTCGTTATTTCCCAGACGGTGTGCCATATTGCGCCTAAAAAAAGAAAGATCCAACTTTTATTAGGACATCCGGATTCCTTCCAGCGCCTTCGGGCACCACCTTTGGGTAAAAATTCTCATTTTGACGACATCCGAGCAAAAATTATGTTCTGTCCACTTCAAACTCTACGATATCCGTTCAAAAGGAAATACATTGTTACCTAACAACCTTCTTGTCTATAAGTACACAAATTATACTTATTATAATACACTTACCAATCACGATAAAAACATAACTAGACACACACTTCATTTTTTTATAAACTTAACATATAAGTCTCTCACTCACGAAACTGAAATTATTTTAAAATATATTTTACGATTATTTTTTTTCGTCTATAGCAACATTTCTTCACGCATGCGCTGTGGGGCCGTTGCGGAATGACTGGACAGAAGGTCTTTGCCAGTGTCGGTTGTACCATTTTATGAACATATTTGCATAATCTTTCGTGTGTTTTAATTTTTTGTTTACTTTGTATATATGTACGTTAATTATTGAACGTATGTAATATGTTTGAAGCTTTATTTAAGACGTACATTTGTTGGGTTTGGAATAGGCAGGCCTCAGAAGTGACGGATGGTAGATGGTTGCATTTATATACGATGCTGAGAGCAGAATATTTGTGATGTAAAAGCATCCGATACTAAGAGTTCTTTCAAGTGACTTTAAAAAAAAAGGTTTATAATTAAGTTATATTGTTTTTATGTATTGACGGGCCTGTTGATCTAGTTGTTAGTGGCCCTGACTGCTAAGCCAGAGGTCGTAGGTTTGATTCCCACCCAGGACAAATAATTGCGTGGTGAGCACGATCATTAGTACTGTGTCTGGGTGAAATTTATCTATAATATGTATGTATTTAAAAATATATAAGTATGTTTATCAGCAGTCTGAGAGCGTAGTGTAAGTTTATTACACATCGACTCAACCGTCACGGCGACCGTTGGCGTTGTGATTGGTGAATCGTTTAGTTCGGGCCAATCGCAACACCGAACAACCGGTCGTGGCTTTGCAGTCAGAATCGCTAACCACTAGACCAAGGGCCCGTCAAGAAAAAATACAAGCCTTGAGGGTGGAAAATTAAAGAATAAAGAATACAGTTAATTCAATATGATGTATGTGGTAGCATTCATGTCAACTCTTATAAAAGTTAGTTAAAACAATATATATTTAATAAGATTGAAAATATTTGGTGGTGGTGGTGACAGGTCCGTGTGGTGACGGATTAAGAATACAGAGTGTCACCACCACTATTCATCCCGTGGGTGTCGTAAGAGGCGACTAAGGAAAAATTATGCAGAACAACAATACTGCACAGAGAAGGAAAATTTGACACAAACTCTATGCCAACCCGTCTGGCCAGCGTGGTATAGTAAGGCAAAAACCTCCTTTCTAAAGAAAGGCCTATGTCCAGCAGTGGACTATTAAAGGCTGTTGATGTGATGATGATAAAAATATTTTTTGTATTATTTTAGTGTACACCTATAAACTAGGGCTGTTGCCAAGGACTCTGTCAACAAATTTAATTTTTTTTTATTTTTTTGCGGGATCCATAAATCATTGTTCTGAGTCTGCGTGTTCTCTGTGTCCGTTTCTTTGATCTAAGTCCTCCGTGATACAGGATATATTCCAAACGCGGGAACTGTCTTATTTTTACAAAATGTCAATATTCACAAGACGAACAAAAACACAATAATACTGTATGAGTGGAATATTAATTCACAACATTTCAAGGTTTAATACAATACATAATTGTGTAGTAATAACGTGAGACATAGACAATACATATGGTCGATGTAAACAGTTCTAGATAAATAACTTTTGTGTTGTGTTTGTCTGTGTTTTGTGTGGGTTCAGTATGGCAACGCCACTCTCTTCATGGGGCTGGTATTCAACTACGAGCAGATGGGTCCACTGATGGTATGTGACTTCCACCGCCTATTGACTAGTG